CACGATCGCCGTTAAATGTCTGAGCACATCAAAGCTCTCACTTTTACAATGAATTGTATAGAGGGCATTTAAGAACCTTGATTTTACAAGAAATCCATACACAAGGCAAGAAAGGATAGTTATGCAACGCAGTGCGAAGGGACAAAACTAACTTCGCCCGGGTCACAAGTGAAATAAAATAAGAAATTAGAGTGAAGTTGAAGATCGTTACACTTACTTCTTCGGGTAGTTTAGCAGGACCGGCAGAAAAGTTCAGAACTCGCTTATCTGTGGAAGCCATTGAAAGATTTTTCACTCGATCGGAGCGTTTTTAATTAAGAGAGCCTGGGGGTTCTGGTTCTTCAAGTGTATCTTCAGAAAGAGCGATTTTGAAATTTAAAATTATATGTTGTATGTGAAATTACAATCCAGCCTCGTTTTCACAGCTGTCACGTCTGATCGCCATTGAGGTCGCTGATTGGTCAATATTCACATGCACGTGCAAAAAGCATGGAGGTCCACAGAGCAAAGGAAAAATACGCCTCACAGTATTCTCGCGAGAGTCATGCGTTAACAAATGCACGCAAGAATAATGAAATTGTTGAGAATGCGATCATTAGAACGAGGTTGCCTTCGATTTACTTAAAAAATCTCTGCATGATCTGCCTTGCTGCAAAATCGAAACGCCACTGTCTTTCATTTCTTTTCGATGTTGCCAGGGAATTTAGAGATCGAAGTGAAATATTTTCCCATTCGCAAAATTAGACAACATTACGTAAGTGTGAGAGGATAGGCAAGGGGCGGGAGGATGGCGGGGAAGTGTTTTTAAAGAAGGGGGGTGGGACCATTCTCGATCCCAGAGCCTCACGACTCTCTGACAAATTTGACCCAAAAAAAGTCACGATTATTTAGTCCCAAATTTCTGCTGGCAAACATAAATGAATTAACTAATTGCAGAAATTTAAGAGAAGAACACGAAAAAAGCGACAGGATATCAAAATTAGAGGGAAACAGTGAAAGGAACAGTGGCCGTGGGACCTTACTGAGCTGGGAGCTGTTATTTGTGGAAGTTCGGGTAAAAGGCGTCAAACGAAATGTTTGCTTCTAAAAGTAAATAATTTCTTTGTTAATGGAGATATTCTTGTTTTTAGTCGTCAGGTCTTTCCACCGTTTTGTTAGGGGCCAGCTCGTGTAGCTAAAGGCCTCATACTTTCCCGCAGAGGAAGAAACGCTCGGTACCAAATGCTAATAATTTGGGCCTGCTCGTGACCTCATTCGCAGCTGTTGTTTGATCTCGTCATGCAGCGTGGGGGAGAGAATGTGTTGAGTAACCTCAGGCAACGTAAGCTCCGGCTGTGAGATGATCATCTTGCGTAAAAACAGTCATGGCGAAAATACAAGAGTTTGTGTGGGAATATTTGCGACTGCTCTTAGGAATAAAAAAAAAAACAGCCAAATTCTAAATAAAAATCCCTCACCTTTCTTTCACAGTGCGTTGCTTGTTTTGTGATCGCCTACTTTGTTGCAACGAGGACATATTAGCGAGTTATTTTTAGGTGTATTATTCCTAGGAGGAGTAGTAAACCTAGAAATTGACAACTCGCTAAATTGGCTTCTTTTCAACATAGTAAGCGGCCAGACAGCAAGCGATGCACAATGGAAGTAAGGTGAGATATTTTTAATGAGAATTTGACTGTATTGTTACTTCCTAAGAGCGGTCACTGCCACCAGACACCAGCGACAATAGACTACAAACACCTGTGTCTGATTCTATTCAAGATAAATTGGAAGGTTTTCTTTTTTGTATTTTTTGTTTTTCTTTCCCATTAAATGATAATTTCGTTGGAATCTTTAGCTCTGTTTCTTTTACAAAAATGCAGAGATCACCGAGTTACTTCCTCGTTGTCCCATCTCAACACACCCATCTAAAAATTATAACTCCCGCATGCGTAGTATGCCCATGTTTTTATAACATTGTCAACACAATTGTCTGGATGTTGTTTTATCACAATGTAGAACCTTTGAGAAGGACAGCGCGCATTAATCACCCTGCTTGAATCATTGTTTGGACTTCAGAAAACTGCGCTCCGTAGTTTTGTTTAACACTTCTGAAAGTCAGATTTAAGTCAAAATCTTCTGTTGCACAATACTTCAAGAACATATCAACACTTAAAAAAAATATTTACCGGGCAAAAGAATGGTCCGGAAGCGGAAAAACTCCACTCTAGTCACAACTTCAGTTTTCGAGTGAACAACGATTCCCAAACGGGACACGAATTATTTAAGGCTAGACACTGAAAACATAAGTTGCGTCTCGAATCAGCGCGCAATAACCACCCCGCATGCCCATTGCTTTCCAAATCCAGTATCATTCCGTACATTTACCTTTCATTTTGGTCTCCCTAAACTCCATCTTATTTATTCAAATAGAATTAGATTCCGTGTTGCCGTCTGTTCAGAAATAGATCACAGATGACATTGAAATGTGGTAAGAACAAAAAAGTGGCACATGAGGCGCAGCTGAGTGACTCATTGATGTTCTTACCACAATTTGACGTTTTCTGTGACCTATTACAGTACAGACCCGTGTTAACGTGGGAAATATTTGTTTTATACGACAAAAAGGCATAATGATTTTAATGCTGACATTTATGCGTCTGTCCTTCAATAGATCATAATTTGAAAAGAACCAATCAGAATGCTTGTATCATTCAACTTGTTTTAAAAGAACCGATTAGAATGTTTGTATCATTCAATTTATCATATAAATTGGGATAGAACGGAAAAACCATCTCGTAAATCTCAAAAATCGTGGCTAAGCTGGACAGGAACTTTGCTGTCAATCGCGGAGAAAACTTAAATCTACAGGCATTTGTTTGCTTACGTCATAAGCGTGAACAACAAGATTCATTGTAGCCGCGCTTTTGTTCAGGAATAGATCTGCAAGCGCAGCCAGGACAGAAAATGTTGTTGTTCATCGTGATTTGTCTGGATAAATGGACGTGGCCGAAAGTTTACGTCTCGCCTTTAATTTTCAACACCTTAGTTCATTAATAAAAGTTGCGCCCCGTCTTTAGTGGATTTTGATCCTCATTATTAGAGCGCGTTTTATACCAAAATCAATGTAAACATAACAGCCAATCAGAGCAAATGAAAAGATGAGAAGACGCTTATTTGGACCCAAAGTAAACCCAAGCAAACAGCCTAAAGCACAGGAAAACGTTAAATAGATCCAAAGCAGTCTTGAATTATACCATCGACACTGAATTGAAAATTGCTCTATTCCGACTGCCTTGTTAGCGATCAGCCGTTGTGCCGTTTTATTAGTAGGCATTTCATGCTTCGGAAGTTTTGGTTTCATTGTCTCTGTCAATTTTATCAGGATGAAGTCTTTTTTGGATGGTTTCTTTAACCCTACGTGTGTACCAGTGAGGCTCATGGTCAATAAACCTAACCTGGTTCCAAACAGGAACATGTCCTGTTTCATTGATGTGTTTAGTTCTGAGTGCGAGCAAGTCATATATGTCTCTTTCATTTTCTTTAAATTCTCTCGAACACTGCTCTTCATGTTACTCCTATGTACGCTTTACCATATTCACAACGGATCTCATAAAAAACGTCTTCCCTTGTCGTTAACTCGATGGATCTTTTAATTGCACCTGTGACCTGAGCGTCGTGTCTGATTCGAAGACGGAGCACACGCCTTGTTGTTGTTGGCAGTGGATACTAGTAGGTTTGACTTTTAGCATGTTCTGCGACTCTTACCTTCAATGTTTATTTCTGAGGATTATACTTATACTAAAACTATTATTTTTTTTTCGTTAAAAACGGGCTAAAAAAGGGGAATTCAGGCGGGATTGTACATCAAGAAAACGCAGCTACAACGAAACGTTCTACCACGAAATGCATTAAAAGTTGAGTTTTCTTTAATGTACCTACCTTCGGGATATCTTCGGATATCGTAACACGTTCTCCCTATATCACCGTGGAACGAAAAAAAGGTTTGCACACATACACTTTCTAAATCTTGGTCATTGTTTTAAAACTGAATCATGGTTAGTTTATCGAACAAACATTAAGTTTGAATATGAAAGCGATCTTCTCAGCAATTAACATTACAGAGTAGTGAAAATAAGGACTGAAAAAAGTTCTGGCCTGTCGCGATTTGAACCCATTACCGCTGACCAGTTCCCGAAAAAGACATTACACTACTGCACAAGGCATAACCGAAATTGACAAAAAGAGGTTTGAGTTTATTCGTTTGCAAATGTGTACTAATACCCGTAAAGTAAATTTGGAAGTCTCAACCCTTTTTGCATTCAAACTTAGTGCCCTGCATCAATATAGCAACATGTACCTAATGGTTTAAAGGTCTAGTGCTCATTAAATGGGTCGTCGAAAGGGGCTGTGATATTGTACGGAGTGTACTAGCAAGTATGATCAGATAGTATCTGAGTAAAGTCGACAATCTGAGCGATTATACATCTTTGTTTTGTTTCATGAGACCATCCCTGCTTATTAAACAAAACTCAAATTTACAATTGAAATCACTCAAGTACAAAACTTTACTAAAACAATCGGGTTAACTTCCAGTAAATTGTTTGTGAGTTTGAAATCTATTTCAGGAGAAAACCATCGAAGCATTTAAAACCCGTTGAAAAGAAGTTAAAAATAAAATAGATAACTCAGATGTATACACCGGGAGAATGATTAAAAACTAAACTCCACGCCTTTTTAATTGTCGACACTTATATGAATCAGGCTTTAAAAGATGAAGTAGTTCTGGAATATACCGCGTGTCTAATTGGGTTAAGCTATTTCCCGCCAAAGTAAAGTAACGTTGCCGGTGGATTCATGTCAGAGAATAAAACACTTGCTATAACTGGTTCTGTTTTGTTTTCAAATTAGCCTACTACCCGCTCTCCGCAGCGTCTTCCAAAAACAGTTATGCATAAATCATAAGCAGTATCAAAAGACAGTCAGAGAATTTTAATGAGCTAAAGCTCAGGCTAACAAAAAGAACAACTCATGATCTTTTGAATCGTAAATGTTGACTTACATCAGTTGAGCTTTCGCATATTTTCCCTTGTCAAACATCGCACGAATTTTAAGTCAGGAACTGAATTTGCCATGGAGCTGACTTCGGTCACGAGAAGCGAGAGGGTTGTTGAAAGAATTCTTTACACGTATGATGTGGCCATTATTGCATGATAGGAGATTAACGCCTCAGTGAAAAATAACTGGAGGAACAGAGAAATTTTGAACGCCGCATTAACTTGATTACTGGACAAAATTTCTTCCTAAGAAAGGAATTGGTAAAATTTTACAATCGACGTGCTACTCTGGTTAAAGAATGCTATGACACTCGCTTTAGTTTCCCTGGTGCTTCTTTCCCTGACAGTCCGTAAAACACAGGCGGTTGGTAAGTGCCTTAAGTTGTCACAAAATTTTTCTCGATAGAACCACATGCAGTTGCAAAGTCGAAACCAAATAGAATTTATAGCTGCTGTATTTGTGCTTTTAACGTTTAAATGACACGAATTTGTATTGTAAATAAATAGAGTGAAAGTCAACAAATTCCCTGAGCGGAACAAGCGATTTGTTGAAGACAGCTTCAGTGGAACATATCGACATCGTTCCAACCCAACGTCAAATTGCCCATTGAATGGTTATTGTTGCTAATTTGGAATCACTATGAAAGTATGACGTAGTCTAACGAACAACGAGAAGTATAAATGATTGTGGAGACAGTTTCATCGTTTGCGTAAATGTTTCCCCTTTGTGATGACAAGTTCACTAGTGCCGTGCAGGACGAAAATTGTGCGGATTTCAGGCCATGTGAAGTTAGCAGTTTGGCTTCGTACTGCAGAAATAATTTTTAGGATTAAAGGAAAATTCTTGCAAATGAAAACCCTTCAAAAATGTTCTACCTTCAATTCCATGAATAAAAGCCTCAGGCTGAGGATTGGGCAGGGGTCAGGGACAGAATTTTCTTTCGGTTTTGTTAACTATGAAATGAAAAAGTCTTTGATAAGTACACCGCGGTGCAGATCGACAATGGTGAAAAGTTGAAATTTTTCTTCTCCCTTCCTTGAAAAAGTTTGCTTGAAAAAAAAGCGCAAAAAAGTTCGCAGTAGAAATTTTTGTCATCAACAACAGCAAAAGTTTGTTCCCGCAAAACACAAAAATATCACCAGTTCTTAAAATAATACTCCCATTAAATTTTTTACCATCCTGTAAGTGTAGAAAATTGTCAAAATGACGATTACATATTTACATTCACTCATTTACGACGAGAATGAAGGGAATGCTATAAACGATAGCAATGAAATGTACAAGTTTGTAAACATTTCTAAGCTAATCAACACAACACCATTGTTTTTACAGAGTGCTTGGAGCCCGCATCAAGAGTAATCAGCCGCTGGAAGAATGGGAACTACTACAAGGGCGAGATTGAATCAATTACTAACAGGGTGAATGTGCTGTTTGACAACGGAGCTCGACTGGCATTTAACCCCAGGGATAATGTGGATATTGTTGTGGACCGTATTCCGGAACAGAACGACCTACCTTGGGGAAGTCAGATTCTGGTTAATCGTCCCAAGTCTCGCGCGTTCGAGATAGGTTACATACGGGACATCAAGAATGGCCGATACGTGATTTTGTACGAGGATGGAGATATGATATTGCACTCACGTGATCAAATACGGGCATTTAATAAATCAAAATTATGTGGTGAGTAAACGATGATAAAATAAGAACGCCGAGTGTGGAGCTGAAGCAGAAATAAAATTTAGTACTCTTTTGGGAAATACAAGAGGTTGTAAATTACATGAAATATCCAGGACAAAATTGAATTAATTGCTTGATAGTATATTTTTTAACGAAAAGCCACTGAAAGTAAGAAGCTTCCGAAAGAAAATTTAAATTACAAAGCTCACCTTTAAAAGAATTACTTATCTCAGATATCAAGCATGGTAACGAGTGCTTATGTTTCGCATCACTATTTTTCAGATGAACCCGCATACTTGGGTTGTTTCCATGACAACCTTCCGAGGGATCTTGAGGTCTATATTCCCACTCACCCGGCCACCATCGGAGCATGCGTGGATACGTGCAAATGGCAAGGGTTTAGCGTTGCAGCGTTGCGTAATTCAGATCTGTGTTTCTGTGGAAATGCTTACCGGAAGGCCAATCAAGTACCAGATGCAAAATGTGATATGCCTTGTTATGACAACTCGTTCGAAGTGTGCGGTGGATTCATGACTTTCTCACAGTATTGGACGGGTAAGACGAAAAGCAAAACATGTGCTCATCAAAAAAATTCTCATCTGTAAATTCTCTCATTTCGTAGATGTTCGTCAAAGTAATGTGTTCTAAAGAGAGTTTATTTTAGATGTATCAGTTTTAATGTACAATGCATTCATTTTCCCATTTCTTTTGGATATCTTGTGTTCAATAATGAAGAAATGTGTAAAATGGCCTGTGAAAAATTCAGGCCTGTACGGGATTTTGAACTCATGAACTTTGCGATACTGGTGCAGTGCTCCACCAACTGAGTTAACAAGCCAATTGGGAGCTGGTCTTAACGTTGGTTCCAATTAAACTCGCGAAGAGATGAATAAATAGCTGTGAATATGTGAAAATCATATATGTGAACTGCGGATAAAGACGTGAACTGACCTTATTTTCACTACTGTTCGAGTGGAGTTCACTACTGAAAAGATCGCTTTCATATTCAAGTCTTTATCCGCAGTTCACATATTTGATTTTCGAAAATTCACAGTTATTTAAAGAAGATATGGCCAGCCCAGTTAAGCTCTGACAACCAACAGGTCCGTGCTTTCACGGTACCTAAATTTCTCGACATAAAATTTTTAAATTCTAAATGAAGTGTGTAAGGTTTTCGACAATCCTTTTTTCTCTTGTATTTTCTTCTCAGGGATTGTGGACTTCCCGCCCGCTGAAGGATTTTCTGGTATGAAAACTCACTCGCAGTCAAAATTTGAATTCTGCTGCAAAACTGCTATAACTCGAGAAGAAGTACCTGTCAACATCATTTAACATCTTTATAGCTTGTAATTTACATCTGATTAGCTGTCCTTTTGAATCCTGTTATCATTACAATAACTCCTAATCGCTTTTCGTTTCGTCTTTAACTATCACACGAACGTTCTTACAAAGACATAAAAAATACTTCGGATAAAAACTTGAGCACAATTGCAATACTAATTATCATGTGTTGGGGGCAAGCAAAATAAATCTGTATTAATACAATGGAACAAATCCAGTATTCCATACAATAAACCACTTAACTGCACCCTTATTCAACAGAACCAGGTTTGAAAGAAAAATAACCAATAAATTTGATTGCGTTGACTTGAATTTTCCATGCCGATTGTATAACTTATTTTTTCCGTACAGGGATACAGAAGCATTTTATTCCATCAAACCATCCAATCCCTTGGCAACTGCTTATGCACGGTAACATTGATATTAATGAATTTCTTGTCTACTGAAAAGAACTTCTATTTTGGCCCCGTATTTTATGCTCTTTGAGTAAATTGCATTACTTCCCCCGTTTGGAAAACTTAGAACCTCTTTTCCCAAGTATATCCCTTATTGAGAGGTATTTTCATTTCTCATCTAGTATCAAATTAAGACTTGTTAATTAATTCTGAATTAAAAATCTTTGCTCAATTTACACGAACGTTAATTTCCCAAAATCAGGTAGTTACTTAGAACAGCGCTCAAAGGCCATAAAAAATTTTAATAATGCTATTCTTCTGATCATAGCTCGTTCAAGATATCCTCCTCGAAATATGCCTGGATCAACGCGCGGCGCGGCCTGGTACCAATCTTATCCATACAGAGGTATGAGTTGATGAGGGGCTGTACACAAGTCATAAAGAATTTGGGTGATACCTTGTTACCTTTATTAACTTCTCTTAGGTTTGCACCTAGTATGCTATAAAAGTGAATCTTCTTTTCCTAGGAGTGCAGCAAGAAAGTGGGTCGAGAAATTATTCCCCGACATATCAAGGTTCGTAAAACGTTTCTTAATAGCAGCCCCTTTGAGATGAGAGAATTCCTGTACATACCCGTAATAATCATGCCCATATTTTCCAAATTTCCAAATTTCCAGTTTCGGGCAATTAACCTCTTCTCTACACCAACCTGTTATTCACTAAATCGCGAGGTGCTCGATTAATCACCTCTTGGAACCTTTGCACGAAGGGGAAAAGTCTCAGTAACTGAATAGTTAAGCCCGTCTAAATTTGGATTGTCGTCCTTTCGTATATTGCCCTTGACTGGGGTCGAAACGGAATCTTCTCGACACGCTCTCCCCCGGAGTTAGATGTTTGTGCGCAAACTAGTTTTTAAAGTGGGGAAAGGGAAAGAAGGAATAAGGGGGCAGCATGAAACCGAAGTATTTACGACCAACTAACCTCGCCTCTAATAGGGAGATCATACAGTAGTTTTCCGACATAAAATGTCGCGAAAATTGGAAACTTCTGTCACCGAGGAAAGCTCCTTAGCTCCTTTTAACCTCTTCGCTCAAATTCCCTAATTTGAAGAACGTTCGTTTGTCTCACTTTTACTCGGTGATATTTTCATATACATGGAATTATCTCGCGTTTTGTGTTTTTTCTCCTGCAGCTAATCAATTGTACCCACCAAGTAGTTATCAAGGATATCAACAATATTATGGAGGGAAACCATGTAAGTATATTTTATCATATTCAGGGGGACACATCGAGGAGTATCTTAGGTTAAAAGAGAATTCTACGTTCTTTCAGATACAAATTTCAACGGGAATCATTTTCAACAGCCTGCTTCAGCATATAGTTACCAGGCAGGAGGTACGTTATTTTCCACACATAATCTATTCACCTATTTATGTACCTCGTTCAATCTATACATCATTGTCTAGTTACGGTTTCGTTATCTGCTCGGATTTAACTGTAGACTACGCGTAGTCCCTCCTTTACGGCTAAGTCCTTCGCGCAAGTCCAAAAATAGAAAGAATCAGCGAAAAAAAGTGATGTTACTGCACTGCGTGAAATTTTGGGAGTCCCGCGCGTCGCTGATTTTTGTTTTTTGACTCCGACTTCGCCGAAAATGAGAGAATGATAGTAGTCTATATTGTCCGGTGTAATTTTCATAGACATTTTAAATTTGTCCTTTCATTATGTATCTGTTGCTTAGCTGCAAATAACCAAGCAAAGGTGTACAGTGCATACCGAGGTCAAGCATACCGCTGGCCTTACAACTACAACAGCTACAAGTATAGCAACTACAACGTTCAAAAGGGAGCCACGAACAGACCATACAATAGTAAGCGGTATCTTTTGTAATTGTCTCTGATTTTATTTCAAGGGAAAGGGTGTGGACATTCTTACGATAGATGCGGCAGTGAAGGAGGCTACATTTTAAGGGAAAGAAACGAAAAAGCGAATGTGATAGTATCGATCTTTCAAAGAATTGGTGTTTTAAAATAAGTATACCATTTTGAGCCACCTTTAGCACAAATAGGAGCATATTTGTAAGCTCAAAACGAGAAAACTACTCCGCCGAGGCCTTATCATAGATGGTACCAACAAAGGTACATGCTTACAAGCTACTAAGTATTGAACTGCGATTGACTTTTCCTTGAAGGTTATCAGACTACGTATCAAAGGAGACCCGCACCCAGACCGTCGCCCCAGGAATATGCAAAATTGATGGGTAAGAAATTCGACAGGGCTGAAGTGCAACTAAGCGGCTGGAAAGACGAAGATTCCCTAAGACAATATCACATGGTGAATTTCTGTTTAAAAACAAACCTAAACGTCGGAGACATAAAATATACAAGATCATCAGCGAAGTTTGTCTAACGGTAGTTGTAGTTGGGAATTTCTCTGAGGAAAAGATCGTTTGTATGTGAATGAGCCTGCCTCGTGTGGTTTTGAATACTTACAACATGTAAGTCTGCAGCTTTCTGCAGAGCATGCAAAGTAATTCAGTAATTAATGTTACTAACCTTTAACAAGTGGACGATTGGGCAATGAAAAAGTCATTAACACTCCTAATATAACTGCATGTTGCACGTTGTAAAAAATTGCATTTCTTTCTACCAAGGTATGCTCAAAAAAGTCAGTAGGAAACTATTCAAAGAAATCACTGGAACATCTAAGTTAGGTACGAATGAAAACAAGGAAACCTTGACAGCAGCTGCACAGTGCTTTTACGATAACTGTGACTCTGGGCATGAATAAATACAGGGAAATTCATCATCTTTCAACTTATATTGTGTCTGTTTGATTTTTTATTTCAACCGCCCAGGGATGTTAGTGCTCGACTGACTAACGAAAGGGTGCAAAAATGCAAGATAACCAAAATAAAAATAACTTTCAATCCAATTGTTCGAGAAGATGTTACATGAATGTCGAAGCGATCTTCGCAGGAATGAATATTACTTAAGCAGTAGTGAAAAAGGCCTGGACAAAATTGAGGCCTGTAAAGGTATTTGAACCCAGGACCTCTGTGATACCGGTGCAGCGCTCTACCAACTGAGCTTACAAGCCAACGGGGAACTGGTCACTAAGTTGGTTCCAAATAAACCGTGAAGCCCTATGGGTTCGTGCAATTTTGTTGTCTTTGGAAAATTCACTCGTGCCTATAAACACCAAACTGCACTCGAAATCATGTTCTTACTTATACTTATTGCACGATAGGACTGTAACTTTAGTCTCCCAGTTTTATTTGTGAAGACATCACTGTTAAGCTTTTGTTGTTGTTGTTGATTTAGCGTTGGCTGCTCCTCGATTCTTGGGTTGTTATCAGGATTCCGAGTCACGTGATCTTCCCACGGAAGTTCCTGTCAAACCGCTGACCGTAGAAGGTTGTGTGGCTAAGTGTAGAGAAACTGGATTTTCTATCGCTGGTCTCCAGGCCTCTACGCAATGCTTTTGCGGCACGACATACAGCAAGTACGGGAGACTCAACAATAAGCAATGCTCGATGCGTTGTACTGGAAACTACCAGGAAATATGCGGTGGAGTCATGATGAACTCCCTATACTACACAGGTAAAATAGGGGGTTTTTAGTGTCGTCTACTGACTTTTTTTTAAAATATAAAAAGGCAAACTGAAAATAAAAATCAAATCCTTCTCACTTGATTCCTCTTGGTGTGCACTTAAAAGCAGACAAGTTCTCGTTTAAACCTCAACGTTATAGGATCAATCTGATGGTAAATGTTCTGACGGCACTAATAATTTGCGTCTCTTGTCTGCTAATAACTGCCATGATTCTCTCTGTTTCAGGCGTTGGCCAGGCCATTCCAAATACACCACCATCAGGTGAGTTCTTGCTCACTTTTGTGATCAAGACAAACTCTTGTTACAGTCAACCTTCCCTTTTAGGCAGCAGTACAAGACAGAAAATACACCTCTAAAACAAAGACCTGGAGTCATCCCCTGGCGTTCGAATTTTTCAAACATTACACATGTTTATATAGTAATCATTGTGGAAAGCGTCAACGAAAACATCTATCACAAATAGAACTTTTTTCCCACTAATCATGAATCAGATAGATTCCACAGAAAATATATCTATATCTCTTCAAAACAAATGTAAATATTTTCACACAATGGAAGAAACGACGATAGACTGACGAAAAAGGTTCAATTTGTTGTTTGCCCTTTACAAGAAACTGAAGTGGATCTAAGTCTTGGTGTTTTTTTCAAATCTTCCTAATATAGACACTTAGTATTCGAACGAACGAGGACGAATTAGCACATGTGAAAGGGGAGATCTTATACATAAAGTGTTGTTCAACTACTGTGACGTAGCGAAATTTTTTTTATTTAAAAAAAGTCACTTCAAAACCTGACATTTTGTCCTTTTCCTTACTTTTTCTGTAGTAAAACTAAGGACTCAACCGATCACCTTCACAAAAAACACGCCTCCAAATTCCCATACAGAAAATCAGTCTCAACACAAGCCAAGACCTCTAGTTCAGAAGAAGCCATCATCTTTTCACGGGCCTCTTTTGCCAAAACCCAAGCCTAAAAATTCCAAAATCAAAGATAAAACTTCCAATATCAAGCCAAAGAAAATAACACAACCGAAACATAGAGGCGACGAAAGTAAAGGAAAGCCACTTCCGATACAGGACTATGCAAAGTTAACAAAGATGCTTCAAATGTTATCGAGATGGCAGCAGCCACAACCACTCAAGTTGAAGCCTGTTAGTAAAATCACGAAGATCAACCCAACACTTAGCTACCAGGAGCTGAGGAAAGTACTTGAAGACATGACTCCAGATATTGTAAAAAAAATTGCCAACCAAATTATTGCTCATGATCGAAACAGGACCAGACTTAGCGACATGAAGCCCCTGTCTGCCGAGAAAAGTTTAGAGGTGCATTTGGCGAGCAAATTGGCAGGCAATAAAGATGCAGGGTTTAAAAGAGTGCATGTGAAGAGCCCCAACTACAAGAATTGGAGTAGCAAAGGGAATTACAGCTATTCACCAAAAGTAAGGAACAAACATGAAGATTTTGTTCTGGAGGACGATGCTAAACCGATAAAGTTACATAAAAACGGTGAAACAACAGAAGCACCACCAAAAAACATTTCAAAACAAATTTTATCCAAAGGAAAAGACCTGAAAGTTCTATCGTCGGTGTCAGAAACTGGAGACAAAGAAGTCGAAGGTGATTCAGAAACAAGTGGGGATCAGTTTCCTGTGGAAAACAATAAATTAGGCAGTGAAACAGAAGAATCTCTAAGGTACTCAACACAGAGAATTTCTCCCGTTCAAACTGCAGATGCAAATACAACTCATCGCTTACCTTCGTTTATTCCTATGGCCGACAAAAGAAGAAAACACAAATTGAAACACAAAGGGAAGCAATCTTACCTCTTAAACAGTCAACAAGAAGGAAGTAAACAACCTCATGACCATGATGATTCAAAATCAGATGTGAAATCTAACAAACGGACATTCGTGAGTTTTATTATAAAGGAAAGCCACGGCAAGAAAAGGAAACCCCTCATGAAAAAAAGCGACTCTTCGCGAAAGAATGCACATCACAAAAAAACTGCACATACAGCTCGTACCAATATCTCTAGTATCCAAGAAAAACCAGACGCTCTAGAGAATGCTTCGGTTCAAAATAAAACAAACCAAAGAGCAGTTCACACTGCCCCAGAAGCAGTTTCGTCAACAAGTGATGAAGAACCCACAGAGGAGATTGACGAAGTCTTTGACGCAAGCGACATATCAAAAAATAACATCATTGAGACAAAGAACATAAAGAAAACTGGCACAAAACTTGGTACAACGACTGCTGAAAAAGTAGTAAATAGTTCAATTAGAACAGGAGTAAAACAGTCAAATAATACGCTTCTACAACAAGCAATCAAGATTGCAAAGAAAAAGATCACACATCCATTAATACTTCTGAAGTATCCGGGTATTCCACACAAAATATTACACGTGGAGGCCAAGTGGAATGGCCAATTTAAAGTTAAAGCAAACTGGAAGGATGAGTCCGAAGCAGTAAAAAAACCTTCGAAAAATTCTTTTGTAAAGAAAACAACGGTAAAATTAAAGGAAAACACATCTAAAGGCAAGGAAAGAAACAAAGGTGATGACGAAGGAAATGACGGTTACAAATTCGATGATCGTGGCTCTCGAAATAACCTTGTGTGGAAAAAATATCGAACACTGAAAAGTGAAGTACACTAACACTCAGTTGTAGATATGTAAAAAAAAATGCCTGCTCAATATTTCCTATTTTACACTGTTAAAAGCTGAAGAAAGACAAATGAAAATTTTGAGAACCAAGAATAGCACCTGCAAGCTTTGTGCACAGGAAATTAATGCAGCCAATCTTTCGAAGAGTATAACGTGATTGGGAAACGGAAAAGCGAAATCCCAAGCGATAATCAACTTTGTTGGAAGTACTCGTCAGGCTGGGCCCGAAAATTCGTTTATCATACCAAGCAAAGTTATGTTAATGCATGCGAAATGATAGTTCTGAAATTATGATAATTCCGTCAACAACTAACACTGCATGAAAACCATTTGAATTTTATTATTGAAGAAGATAAGACTGACAGCACAACTGCTTCTGTGTTTTCTCGTCTGACACTTCTATCTTGATGTCCAAAGACCGCGGATCTTTCACACTTTTAGTGCAGGACAGAAAACCTTCAAGGACTTGACCTGTGCAAGAAAAAATGGACCACCTTCTGACTTCCCTATGTAAAGTCTGGTAAACGTCAATTTATACGGTGTAAAGTCTGCCATCAGTCATCTAGATCTTAGTTTTTTATCTGCCATTAGTCATCGAGATCTTAGTTTTTTATCTGATTTTTCGAAAGAGTGGCACGTACTTTCTTGGCCAATCACAGAACGATATAGAGCAAAATCAAAGAAATACAGGATTGCTCTCATTCGTGACTTACAAGCTATGACCCAGGGCAGAAATCGCACTGTTCCAAGCGGCCTTTAGAGGATCTAATCAGAACGCAACAATTTAAATTTAGAAATGTATCGCTGAATTACCTTGGAATACCTAATTTCCTAATACCAATTCACAAGAGTTAATTGACGGCCTATCGATATCGTTGATCAATTAGACCATTGAAATAGGAGATAATGAAATAAAGGAACTAGAATAATTTAATTTCTTGAGATAATAGATTACATTTATGACATAAAAAGATAAGTTCAACCCTATAAAAATTAATTAGTAGGTTAACATTTTATACAACAAACAAATTAAACATAACTTTCCTTGTAAACACAACCCACTGTAGTGGAAAACGTTAGAGAGAAATAAACGTCTTTTTTGTTACCTTTGGTGACGCTGATTGGCTTTTCAAGATAGAACACAGTTTGTTTCCAGTGTGTTGTAGAGTCCGAGGGACTAGTGCTGAAATTGACCTGAATTACAATAAGATCGCTTTTATTTAAATTTCAACTGTGATGGGAATTAGAAAAAGCCTTAGCTCGATTGTCATCAGATACAACCGAATTTAGTACGTTACAACACCGATCTTTTTTCTATATTAACCCTTCTTTTTCACGAGTTACTTGGAAAAAAAAAACCTATAACACAATCAACCAACCCTCGTCATACCTTTTTATCGCAGTTCTTCTCAAAGAAAATATCAAAATAGGCAATGAAGGCCTGAAAAAGAAATTAAATGTAATTAAATTAATAAAATGATCATTCATGAGAGTCCAGGAAGACAGAGCTTACTTCAATGAGCAATTCATGTAACGGTGCTATCAATATTTGAACGCAAAGAGTGAAACATGTTCTTATTCCACGTCACAACCTGTGACGCAACGAGAATAAACCAAAAATGTACCCCTTAATTCACTGCAGGCCATAGAAATACGCCAGACCACAGTGGTAGGTGGTGGGGGAGGGGAGGAGGAGAAGGAGAAGGAGAAGTCGAAGGCTCCCACCTGTATGCTCCTAACCAACAAAGCAGATAGATTAACAAAGGCGTAAAAAATTGAAAACACCATTTGCCTGAGAGTCCTGGGCTATCACGAAACAATTAACTACTTACCAAACAATAACCATCTTTACTGATTTTAACACTAAACGCTGAATGGAACTGTAGATCACTTAGTTTACAACTGGTTATGTCCAGCTCCTATTAAAGATAGGACAGAGGAGATATCTTCAGAACACAAACAAAATTTCTCGGTCTCGTTTATTTTATGCAATAGAAGGAATACTGCACCCCTGCACTTTTTGCTAGAAACTTAAGCTTCAGGTTTGTTACGTTCAACGAACAGCTGCATCACGTAACATCTTTACTCCCGTAAGTGAACACAACAGAATTTATTCTTACAATGTCAAGCAGACAAGAGATGAGATAATAGAAAAATTTCAATTGGGGGATAACTGATTGATCCAAAACCAAATTCTCCGAGCTAACGTCATAACTATTGTATGGCAGCCATTAATGAGAATTACTATTGAGATCTTGGGAGTGAAGGGCTAAATAAACAAATACAATATAATTATTCTAATACCACCTTCAATCGTACAGTTTCCCTATTAGGTCAACTAAGTCGAGGTATGATATGCAAAATTTTCCTGCTACAAAGTACTGTTGAACTGCCGGATCGTGAAAAGCTTGTCTTAAAAACGGAGTAGACCATTTAACGAGCTCAGTTATAAAAATAGGATAAAGTTTGACTAATAATTTGTTCGGAGCGCAAAAAAAATGTTGTAGTCAAAAAGTTCCCGTATTACGAGTTGTTACAAGGCAGGGTTCCTCATCTTATTTCCCAAGGTTACTCTTTCTCCCGTTTCCAGATCGCTCTTACGGGAGTTTAAGGCGTTGATGCCAGGAAGAATTCTCATGGAAGGAAGCTTTGGGGCTCCATTGTTCAAACGTTACCTTGACTTTACATCGAGAAGAAATCTCGTCTCCAGGATCCGCAGTTTCCACGGAGGGTTCAGAGCAGACAGACTTTTTCATACAACTCATTTTAAAACCTGAAGAAAGAGATTAAATAAAAAAGAGAGGTGTGAGCTTCTGTTACTCTATACCTGGGGATTTTTCATCAAAATCCTGACACAAACCAGAATCTCAGGCTTGTTTAGAAAAAGTCTTACCATAAACGTCATCCCAAAAGTTGAGTTTCTTCTCGACTTTTCCACTATTTCCTAAGGCAGCCAGGCACAAAGTACATCGGTCTGGGTAAACTACAATAACACAGGTAAGAAATTAGTCCATTAGATGTCCAATACAAACCTCTGAGTCCATTCCTTTCCACTTTCGTCCCATCGTTCCCAAAGCGTTCCATTAACTTGACACTAAGGATTTGTAGATGTCGGTTCTGGCGACTATAACAACATTTGCTTGGAAGGGGCCCTACATAGGTAGCTAACGCAAGCTGGTTCTGAGTCCTGTCACATGAAGCGAACTATTACAAACTGCTACTTCAAGATGCGATCAGATGCCAATTACCTGGTTTAAACATAAACTACCTGGCTAAAAACTAAACGTCCTTAAAACTCCACTAGGCGAAAAAAGCACTTAGCGAGCGGAGTCCCATCCCCAAGAAGAAAAAAAAACAGCGACCCCATGAACCTGTTCCAAGGTCTCAGTGAGTGGATATGAACGAAAACTAGGGCAGGCAAAAAATAGAGCTCGCGACATAACCGAGGGCACAAAGAAGAAATAATCCTGCGTCACGCAGCAACAACTACAACCGCCTCGTCCGCTTGCGCTTGCCTACCATTTTCTTTAGCAAGAGCTTTCTCACTCGTCTCCGCTACGCCACCGCGTCGATCACAGGCAAAAAAATATTTCACATTGGATCTTTAACGTCCTCACGCAACCAGCAGGCAGCTGGTCTCAATGAGGATGATTGTCAGAACTTAGCGCAAGGAAAAACGGCCATAAGATGATCAGTTTTACGAATGCGTTAATATACTTTTAAAATCTATGGAAAACTTACCGCAACCTGTTGGCTTAAGCCATTTGTCCCTTGCAAACAATACTGTGTCAAGCATTGACTCGAAAAGAAGAAAATAGCCCTGCAAGAATTTCAATTTTTTTGGTTATATTATTTTGATTTTAATTTGGACAAAGCATGATAAGTCATTAAAAACAGAACCTCCATAAGAAGGTCTTTTAGAATCGATTTTCAAAAATATCATAAGCTGAGGAAACAATTGGTGGTAAGTTTCCGAACTTCTCCTATAAAAGGCATTTTCAAATTTTTGTTAGAATAAATAAAAAAACAACCTATAAGACTTACCATCCACTCTGAAATAATAACATCAACCTGAAACCAAACAAAAAAAAACAGATCACTAATCACTTGATTAGCAAAACAAACCCAAACAAACTTAAATAACAATAACAATGATAAAATAAACATAACAAAAACCAAACAAAAATAGAAAACCTTGCTAACTGGAACAAAGCTTTCAATAAAAAACTGCGGTTACCACTGGTCTACCACCGCCTATAAAACCTCTTACTGCATTCTGTTGAGCCTGCGAGTAGGTTTTGTTGTTTGGGTTTTACCTTACAGCCACTTTCCCCGACACGGCCGCTAATTATAGCATCGGCAACCGGTTATGAAAAAAGTTACTGAAACCCCTGCTTGGTCCGTTTGTTTTCGCCTTACCTTGTCTACTGGTAATGCAACTTCCTCTGCTTTTCCTTTCAGTAATGTAATAACATTTTCCAGCCCGTTTTCCCTAAACCAAAGAATAAAAACAAACAGCTCTTAAATAGCTAAACAAAACGTTACGCATTCAACTCAAACAATTTTTCTTCATGCCAATACCTATTTTATGGTTTATTAAAATTTTTTGCTACACATTATGGGATCTTGCGAAATGACACTCCAAATTTTGCACTTGAAGCGTTCTTTGCTTCGGATTTCGAGCTTGGTTGCGCTTTTCAATAAAACAATCGTTATGAACAAACTTTTTTCAGGTGTATCACAGCGATGCAAGGTAAACGAAATGTAAAACAATATAAGGCTATTGGTTACCTAACAATATCCATTGCTTGATATATGATCTCTGACTGATCTATTCCGATCACACGAGTTGCTCCGGCCTTGGCAGCGAACATAGAAAGTATACCTGTACCACATCCAACATCTAAAACAATCTTGGAGAGTACGCAACGAGTTAAATTATGACATTTCGACAACAAAGGAAATTAAGAATGCATCCGCTGAATATATATAGAAAAGATTGTCGGCACGCTTACCTTATCTTTAAAAATCGTTGGGTTGTTGAGTATAAAATCCCTGTAACTTTCTGTCCTTGTAGTGTCCTGCACAAAAAGATAAGTGTGGAATTTTTTTAAATAGCGCATTATCCACACTACTATGCTCTGAAGGACCTCGCAACACTTTACGGAAACTCTAATCGGACTGCATTGAGCAAATTTACAATTTTGAAAGGAAATTTAGCAGAAGTCCCCAATTTTGGAAATTTCGGAAATTTTGAAACAGTGCCAGACCACAACACCGGGAGCTACGTTCCCTACTTGCGTGGGGTCTTTAACGTCCATTTCTAACCAGTATAGGTGAGATGCAAAAGACATGGCTTACGGTCTTTGGTCCTTATTCGAAAAGACTAAAACGTCTAACCATTTCCAGAATTGTCATGACAAAGGCAGCACATTCTCCTTAGTTACTTTAAGAAATTGAGTGTTGGTCCGGTCTGAGGCTTCAACCCTCCACCTTCCAACACGGCAGTCCGGTGCTCTACAACATGAGCTCACCAGGCGGACCAGACAAGTTTCAAAGTCGTTCTAGGCAAAAGGAACCCTCTCTTGGTTTGTTACGCTGTTATTTAGTGTTCGTCTCCACTGTCTCACCTTCAACATCTCTTCGTGAATACCAAAATGCGCGTACGAACTGAAGTAAGGATCGTCCTCGGCATTATCACAGCTTGCACAGCCCGTTTTGGATCTGAATCATTTCCGGTAACAAATGACATTACAGTTAAATTAAATGAAGTAGAACCGTGGGCAACATTTGATCGTGTTGTATGATTGTCCGGGTGAGAGTTTTCCTGAGGAAGCCTGCTGTTGGTAGCAGTGGCACTGACGTTTCTTAAACCCTAAGCAAAAGTCAACTTGATGATGTCTTAAAGCTGAAAATTTGGGCTTCTGAACGTCTAAGACGTTAAACTTTCCATTCGAACAAGAAAAAATTATGACCTGAATTGTCCAATCGTATAACCAAAAAAAAAAACAGGCAAAAATATTTTTACCTAACTTTGGATATGTAATAAGTAATTTATCCAAATTTGATAAGTTTACTGACCACGAATATAAGCAGTGCTTACAGAAAGTAAAATAAGTATCGTTTGGTGTACCTTTACATGTGTTTGATTTTGTTGCGCGAAATGCGGTCACTCATTTCCATGCTCGTGGTTCGAACATGTAAAGAAACCCTGCACTTGTCAGCAGAGATAGTCGAGTTGAAACGAAAGTTTATCATCCTGCCCAATACCAACAATAGTCCTTCTAAGGACCACACTCACCCGGGCGATGAAACTACACGATTGGACAACATCAGAGAGAGGAAATAGACAATTAGGCAAGACGTTCGCGAGAAATGAAAGAAAGTAAACTTATGAAAACGGTAAAAAAGATAATAGGAACACCACGCAAGTCTTCTCAAGTGACTTACCGACTCTGTCCACCAGGTTGATCTTCAAATAAAACATTTTGCGCAACAGATCTGGAATGTAAGGCAATGGTCGTAACTTTGAAAAAAGCATTCAGAAGCTTACTTTAACCCTAATTCCTAAGAGTGACTAGCATCTAATTTCTCCCTACAATATCACATCTGAATAATACTTTAAGGTCATGAGAACATAAGAAATGATCACCTACAAAAGAAGCTCTTAATTGAACAAATTCTCCTTATCAGCACCTTAAGAAATGTATGGAGAACAGTATGGAGAATATGCATAATGATGTTAGGATGTAAAGAGTTAACTGCGAGCAGGGCTTCATTAATAGTGCTAGCGGACGCGCGTTTCTCCGCCTGCGAAAAGATGTGAGACGGGCTGGGGAGAGGTCCGCCGAGGGTCTAGCATTAATAATGAGGTGCTTCTACCAGCACCTCTCCCCTGCTTGCGTTCCTCAAGGTCTCAAACTTTCTCGCGGCCGTAAAGACCCACGCATCGAAGCACTTATAACGAGGGCTTTCTCGCAAGCTATTAAAATTTTGGCCTTATTATTATTATTGTTTGTTTTCTTTGAAAGCTCTTACTTGTTAGATGCGAAATATAAAACTGCAACATTACGTATGTATACGCGTGAAAGCGAAAATAACATGTATAAACTAAATAGAAAAAGAACTTTTTATGAAAAAACAGTCAAGCCAAAGGCTGTATGTCAGTGTAAGAAACGTGTATGAAACAATCAGAGTGAATTGTGACGAATGAGTCTCAACAAAAGATGGGCGCGGTAAAACATTATGCCTGATAAGCTTCCACAAGCTGGAGTGAGGAACGAATATAATCCAATACCCTTACGATACTGTCCTTCATGTAAAATGTTCCTATTAAAAGCGACTCTGTATTTAAGAACTACCAGAATACCAATCATTAAATGGCCCTCCCTTAATACTAGAAAGTTGGAACTTGTATGCAGGCAGCTCAACTCACAATGAATGTATTAAGGAGAAGACTTAACTTTCGATGTTACATGTACCTTAGCTGGCAAATTTCTTCCAATGCTCTTGCCAGATTTGCCTCAGCGCAATAAGCACGGTTCTCCAGTTGATGTAGCCTCAAATGGAAAATTTCTTAAATTAAGGATTAACATATATGTTTCACGTTTTCATTCAGGTTTATAGGTAAATGTGCATTTCATATTTTGTCTCAGGATATAAAGTCGTTATAAACTGCACATCACAAGGCTTTAGAAAAACGTTTTGAAATTATCATTAGGGTGTAGAAAGGAAATATCTCAAGGGAGGGTTGTGGGGTCCGAGCGGCAATATATAGATCCTAACATACTGTGCCAGTGTCTAGGCAAAAATACAACCCGGTGAATGAGGACGCTCCCTTACTTTTTCAGCAAGGCTCAATCTTAGCAGATTAATTTGAAACACTTAAGCATAAGGTAAGAGTGGTCAGTTATATAAATAGAAACAACTCAGTCTATATGTTGTTCTCCTTTTCAGGCAGTAACCCTTCAATTTTACCGCCTGTAGTTCCTCTTATTACTGCCTTAAATCACTTAATATTTTCTTGAAATTCAACAGCTAAAAGGATTGCTCTACTGGTTTGAAACTTATTTTACCTCTTGAGCTCAAAATAATGAAGAACACTGTATATACTTAGTGAAATCATCAGCACCAATAAAATTAGTTACCTTTGTTTTATCTCCAGATATTTTGAATAAGGTACACTGGCTGCATGTTAGAAAAAATTAAATAAATCTAAGTTATTTTTGAGAACATTGATAAGGAAAGGCTGTTACTTTGTTCATGCATATTAAGACCAAAAAAGGTAGGAATCCTTCCCTCATGATACACACTCTTCAAACTGAATTGGTGTTTAATTATATCTTTCCTTATTCTCAAGCCTTTCCTAACAAAAGTTGTAAAGCAATTTTAAAAGGGAGTGACTCTTCTTAAGAACTGAGATGAGATAATTTTGTCTTGATTCTTGAATACAAAATTACAAAATTCATGCACACTAGTGGATACAAATTTTTCCTTGACGAATGAATTCTGTTTATATTGCCACTTTCATCATCATTATCATCATGACAATCATTTTTATTAGTGCAAGAATTATTATACTAACTTTTGTTATAATTATTCATGTTGCAACATTTAATGTTTCCAACTTGAATAGTTAAATAACTGTGAGTCTAAATGTTTGTATCAGTGGTGTATCAATGGTAACTTAGTTGGGGCAGTACCTTCTTGGTTGTTAGCTGCATCAGCATTACTGTCAACTTCAACATCAGAGTCATCATCAAAATCTACAAATTTAACAAAAAATGTTTCACTATGAAAAATTAAGTAAACCTACTGTGCATTTCAAAAACAGCTGAAGGTTAACTCTTAACATCTTCAATTACAGTAATACAATGTTTATATTACATCTAGTACACCTTTAATGAGGGGATCCCAGCTCACTATCATATATGGCCGCTATGGACCCTACATGTATTTATCCAATAGAAGTATAAACCACACACCAGAGTAGAATAGCAAGTACTACAACTATAGTCACCTCCGAGCAGCAAAGAAACAGAATCATGCATCAAGAGTTTAATTTCTGAAAATTTTTCAGTATATTGAAAGAAATGAACTAATTTTTTGGTATCTGTGTGGTTTGTACAATTATTCACCTCGGAGGTGGGAAAGCGGCAGAAATTTATTTCACCTCTTTGCAGCTTGGTAAATATCCACCACAATTCACCTCCACTTTGGTGAATAGTTGTTAATTATCCACCAATACAAAGAAATCTTCTAGGCTGCAATACCCTTAACTCAGCTTTCTTATTTAATTAACTATGTTTATTGCTTTAGTTTTTCTACAAAAGAGGGAAAATCAACTAAATTAAAGATAGGATCTCCTCTTTTGGAAAATTTCATAATCAAGGATGCTTGTATTTTTGTAATTTTTTCTCTTCTTCCACATTGGATTACATGTTATGTTAAAGTCCATTTTAGTGGCTTTGGTTTGTGAATAGAGACAAGGAAGAGGATGTCATCAAAAACATTTCATCTCCAGATTACTGATAACAGATTACAGGAGTTGGGATCTCTACAGTGAGTGTTTCAGATTATCAATTAATTAAAGGATTGACGATTGATTGACTAAACCACTAACTGACTGATTGGCCAAATGACAGAAAAGTTTGTTGGCTGGGTTGTCTACATGTAGGTGGCTGCTGGCTGAGGGTACACGACTGATTAACTTGCATCATCTAGCAGACTGTCTAACTGATTGGCTCATTAAATAAAGAGTACTGACTTGAAATATGTAGTTTTAGCTAAAAAGATTGTATCTCTGACATACCATATTGAAGAAGTTCATCATTAGGGAGAGCTGGCTGTAAAAATTCATCACTTTCCCATGGCAAAGGAAGAGCAACATTTTCAAAACTTTCAGGGGAAGGTTTCTCAAGAAAATAAAAATTTAAAATAAATATGCATAATTATTAAAGTACATGTATCCACAATTGAGCTAACAGAGAGAGAGAGAGAGAGAGAGAGAGAAGGGGTAGTCATTGGAAGTATGTCATTCTACTATGATCTCAAACCGTAACAAGCTTATCCTACTCTGATTTTACTGAAAACATTGTACAGACAAAAATCTCCATATCAGGACTGTATGCAAAATGATGTGAACAGTGGGCAGAAAAAGCTGTAAGGCACAGTCAGATGATCCATGTTTCATATAATTCCATGAATTGTTCATAAAATGTTAAACTTAATTTAAGATACATGTACAAGAAAGGTCACAGGTCTTGTAACAGTTTAAGCATGAAAGGTACCCACAAGAGCAAAGAAGTACTGAAATCATTTTACCAGTTTAATTTTCAAAGAATATCAATTTAGAAGGCAATAAGAGGTACCTTTGATACTAAAGTATAAATATACATTACCAGCTTCCTGATATAATTTACAATCTTGATGCATCCATAAAAGTCTAGTCCTAGCAATAATGAAAGCAAATGTATTTTAATCTTACTCATTTGAGATCACTTTTAATTTTCACTTCTAAAAAATTGCAATTGAAAGTAACCTACCATGCATCCTCTTTATCTTTGACAGATCAAACCCATGAGCTGAGACACAGTGGTTCCAGACCATTTCAGCAGTTTTAAAGCACTCGTTACAGAACAGGCAAACGATAGCGCTGTCTTGTTCTTCTTCGTCCATCTCTTCCCACTCGTCATCACTTTCACTACCACTATCTGCTAGTATGGAAAAATTCTTAGCTCAGGATAAAAATTCTTTTCCCTATGATTTTCATACATATTTTCTATAAGCGCACTCGTGTATCGCATGAGGTGTCATTTTCCTTTACTTGTTCCGTTATTCTTGTGGTTGCTTTCAATTTTTATCTTGGATACGTTGCGTAAAATGGGACAGATCTGCCTTATAGTTGAAATCGCATTAAGGTAGAAGGTTACACAGACTTAGCTTATCTCTAAAATGCTACAAAAAACTTGGCGGATATACGTGCCACTCTGAGATGTTCACGTGGGCAGTAAAGCTCATTAACATTTTAGTGTTAAAACCGAATTTCAGAATTTTTTAAACATAACCAGATCAAATTAAGTAATCATGATACTCTTGTATGGCATTTGCCGATCTAAGCTCAGAAAAAAGTTATATAATACTCACCTTCGTTATTTTTGAAGCTCACTTCGTCCGCCATCTTGTTTTCACTTGAGCCTAGGCTCACATTGATCAGCGGACCTTTTTTGGACGACCTTTGACTGATACATAAATGAAGTAATCATGGAAAGTTGTCAAAGTCAAAATTAAGCAGAAATGGCGAAGCTAGGCGAATTGACGGAGGACGAAAAATCTTTGTTTTCACATCTCAACAAAGGTAAAGAGACTACCTCTTCATTAATGGATATTTAAAAATTATTATTTCATCTAGGGGTTGTATTTTCTGTTATTTTAAGGTGATTTTGAGGAGGCTTCAAGGCTCTTGCGTTCAGGAAGTGTGAGGATCGACTGTTTAGATGAGGTGAAACGAAAAAAAAATAATAATTAAGTGCTTATCGGTTCTCAGCTCCTCGAACTATAATTCGAAAATTTGATCAGCCTTAAATTGCTGAATTTAGGATCTGAATAGGTTTTTATATTCGTATCTTATTTATGTATATTAAAGTAATGGACTTTTAATGCTAGCATGACCAAATCCGAATGACCCGATTTGCTCTTTGTTGTATTTCTTCGAATTTTTGAGGTTGTTGTTTGTTTGATTGTGTGTTTATTTGTTTGTTTGTTTTTTTTCAGTGCAGCTGATTTCAAAGCTGATATAGAAACAGTTTTATTCTTGTTAGCAAACCTGCCATCTTTTTTTTTGTATTCATTGGTAGACCGACATTTTCTCGGAAAATGGTATTCGACTCGATATGATTTGTTTTCACTCATCATAAATATGTCCACCAATTTTTTTTTTTAATTTCTTTTTTATTTCTTTTCCTCTAACCTTTTTATTAACAGCATGGCATGACCCCACTGATGTGTGCGGCATACAAAGGCAAAGCAGAAATGTGTGAGCTGCTGATAGCTCAAGGAGCAGATGTGAACTCTAACCACCATGAACAACAGGTAATTAAATCAGACTACATCATTCTAAGTTTTCCTCTGAAAAGTTCAAACTGTAGATCTGTTCAAACTAACCTCTTCTTAACAGATTATGTTCTTGTTTTACCGTTTTCCTTAGAATGTACAGCTGTTATTTGATTTCTATCGACAAGAAATGTAAATGAAGGAAAAAAGAATATAATGCACAAAGTTGATGACATTGATACTGATTTGTTGCTACAATGGCTGTTGCACTTTTCTGTGTGTCTTTTTTCTCTGGGAACTTTTTACTTAACTACTCTGTTGGTGTCGTGCAAAGAAGCTTGCAGTGTACAAACAAGTGAAAAAGCATTTTTTCTTGGAAGTTTAGTCATTCAGTAGATGTTGTATAGGACAATTTGGTGAAGTTAAGCAAGTTAGGTACCAAAAAAATTCTGATGTGTATACACTTGTGACCTTCTTAACAAGAATGGACCAATAAACTCATTTATTATAACAAAATGTTACTTTAACTAAATTAATATGGAACCAAATGACTCGACTCACTGGGTATGAAATGGCCCAGCTGGGTATGAAACAACTGGGTTTGAAACCAATGTGGGTACCAAAATACTGGTAACCTCCCTTTTGCTGTATGGATCCCAAACAATTGAACTAAGCAGGCATAGGTCCTGATTACAATATATATTTCTATGAATCCATGTACAATACACCTGTAGTCCTTAAAAGCTGCAGGGAAGTTGCAACAGTTAAAAAATAATGTTAGCATTGTTAACTTAAGAGGATTATTTTTACATTTTCTTTTTCATGGCAGTACACAGCTCTCATGTTTGGTTGTCTCTCAGGTATGTATCAGAAACTTTAGTTCTCTTCTGAGTCAGTGGCTGAATTGTAGATAACTTCAATTTGTGTATGTAGGAATGTATCATTTACCAAGGAATTTATATTACCTATTACTTTATAACTGTAGGGTCTGTAGATGCTACAAGGGTATTGCTTGAAGCTGGAGCGAGGGTTAATGCAGAAAACAGTCTTGGGAGAACAGCTGCTCAGCTGGGAGCTTTCATTGGTAAAAACAATAATAATCTGTTGTTTAAATTAAAGCAGTGAGATTGATATGCATGAATTTTGTTCATCTTTGTGCAAAAATTTTAAATCAATTTTGCATGTACCAGTCAAGATATTCCATTGTGACAGCTCAAAGTAAGAGGAAACTTGACAGTGTCTTGCATTTAATCAACCAATAAAACAACATGCCTACAGTATAAACATTTCATGATGGTTTCCCTTTTTTACTGTTATGTCATATGTATAGGAATGCACTTTCTTATTATGAACAGGTATCTTTATCTTTTTTTATCCTCACCAAATGAGTTGATCATTTATTTTTATTTTACCTTCTCAATTTTTTCTCCTATGTAGGTCAAAGTGAATGTGTCAGTCTTATTAACAACTTCCTGTCAGTGGATGATTTGGGATATTACACAAAGCCTCAAGGTTAAATCTGGATTTCAGTGTAATTTAATTCATTCATAAACATAGCTAGCTAGGCCTCTACAGAAGCAGTAGTGTCGTGTGTTGTTGCCAGCAGTAGCAGTAAGTTTTTTACTGTTGAATTGACAACTTTTTTGATGATGGTTTTTTTTTTTTGAAGATGGTTGGTAATTAGAGGCAGAAAGTTATTTCTAAGAAAAAAGGAGACTTTATGAATGTATACAGTTACTATTAAGAGATAAGTGCTAAGCAGCCCTGTTAATTGTGGGGGATCCCTTCATTCACAGACTTTGAAACAGGCGCCAAAACACTTCCTGACTGATATAAGAGAAATTTTGAATTTATGAAAATTATATGTAATGATACATGTAGTATGAGTTGGATGTGAGCCATCTACTAGACTGTATTATCACAGACATGTACCATATTATTTAATAGTAGTTTATTTACAGGCCTAGAAAAAGAACCCAAGCTATCAGTGGCCTTGGTACCAGCACTCCACAAGTTTGCTGTCAGTCAAAATTTATGCCCAGTGAAGGTAATTTTCTTAAGATCTTGACAAGTTTGATTGTTTTCTGGGTTCTAATTTGAATAGTTCAGGACAAAAATAGCCATAGGTGTTTTGCTCTTTGTTACAAAGCAACCATTAATAGAACTATCCACAGCCAATTTTACTTTTAAAAATTTTTAGCTCTGTGCCAGCCATTGCTGATGTGCACCTTACATTTAAACTCTTAGCTTGCCTCCAGGGTACAGATTAACTCAATAGATGACACTCATAGTTGTATTTCCTTGTTCTTGGTGACAGATTGCTATGTATCTGCAAGATAACTTTGAACTTGTTAAGAACTACAAGAGTTTAGTTAAAGTTATGGAGCTCCTAACAGAGTCAAAGATTAAGTCAAAGGAGATGCAAGAAGTGCTGGCCATGAAGATGCACTACCTGGGATTTATGTTAAAAAAATGTGCACACTGGAACGAAAAACTGGAGGGAAAAGGTGGAATTGATGGCTTCATAAAATAGTAAGTAGAAAGTGAATGTATAATATAGTAAAGGAATTTTAAAGGAGATTTGAGTTAACATGAGCATATAAGGTACATGTACATTTACATATAGGCACACATCAAGCTACTCCATAAAATTTTTTTTTTTCTCACTGGCAAGCAGGCAGAGGCATCCTTGGAAATGCTGTATAGCCATCCTTATTTTTTAAATATGTCTGTGTACTGTCCATGCAGATTTTTAAGACTCTGCAAAAAATGTAATCTTGATAAGCTAATTGCATACAAGTGTTGACGTTTGTGGGTGTGGAACTCGTTACTTAGTTGTAGGGATCTAAATGAAAAATTAAGGGTTTCTATGAGAAACTGTAATGTTGCCATGAGACCCATACGTACATCTGTACATCAAAGATTTGAACCCAACATGCTGAGAAATAATTGGGCGTTGTTAAATACTACTTTCCACAGAAACACGAAAGTATGGCAGTGTTGATTAATCAAAGAATTAGTGTTCAAGAAATTTGACGAGACCATTTTAAGCACCTTCTATCTAGAAGTCAGTGGAAAATAACTCATGTAGTCGAGAGTTGATTCCTCTCGGCTGGTTAAAGACCGACGTATTTTTAAAGGTGATTGACTGATTGATTACTGTGTAATGGAAAACAAAACTCTTTATTTCTTTATTCTCATGGCCTTATTTTAAAATGACAGTGATTTGCGGAGATGAAGTGAGCTTTGTCCTCTGTCACTGGGAAGATAGAAATGTGATATTTCATGATTTTCTCTTAACAGCTTAACAAAAGGGCGCTCATCCGATGGCTTTTTCATTAATATGGAAGATATTATACGGCAAGCGATAAAAGAGTTCGATTATCCAGAATGTACCATTTTCAAACAGCTCGTTCAAACAATAGCACCTGTAGAGAAGGTAACTGACCTTGAATTATTTCTTTGTTTTTTTTTTTTGTCTATTTATTTGTTTGTTTTTTGCTGATAGCGCTGAGCAAAATGCCTTACAAAAAATGGACAGGTACAAAATGGTATAACAGGCGCGGTTGTGTCGTAGGAGTACTGGATAAACTGGTACGAGTTGTCCGGTTTAAAACGTAGATAAAGAAAAAGTAGCTTAGAAATGGGAGAAAGATGTTTCTTCGTCTTGTCACGCGCGTGGACTCAAAAGTCCGAGATCCGATTCCGCGGTGGAATCTGAATTTTTTTTCACTATCTTTCTCTCTTTACTTCTTTTATATAGGGGCGTGATCCAACAGCTCTCGCCGTGATAACTCAGAGCATAAATGGCCTCCGCTGGTAAAGCATTTTCTGTTACAGTATTATTTTATTGTCCTTTCTCTTTTTTCTTCCGGTAAAATTCCTCAGTCGTACTGTATGGTAGATCAAATTTTTCGTGGCCTTATGACGTTACACTTTTCTATAATTGAAAGTAAAACTGAGGAGAAAGTATCGAATCTTTTGGTTCTTTATTCCTTGCAGTGGTGACTTTAGTGACTGCTGTGTGGTTTGTATCGAGAAACGGAATGTGAAGAAATGCTCAGCATGCAAAATGGTAGGTGACGTTCATTCCTTGCCAGCTTCATTATACCCTTTGAATAACAGATAGAGTTGAATATGAGAGGGCAGTTTGACTGAGTATCATTAAATCAAATACCAAGTAACCACAATGGCTAATCTGAGCCAGGGAACTCATTACCGTTGCTCTATTTCATCTTTCTTGGGGAATAAAACGCCAAATATGCCGTGTAATCCACTACACCTCATGAAACGTCTCGTATAGTTCAAGTGACTATGGTAACCAGATGTCAATTTATAAATTCTGAAAGAAAACCCTTGAGTCTTCTTCCTAAAACGTCTGCACGAGCCACTTGTGGAGCATTTGCTTAGTGATCGTTCTTTTTTTTTAATTTATTTTGGACCTGCGATATCTTTGTTTCATTGAAGTTGTTTTACTTTGTATTGTATACTCGATAATTCAGATTAATTTTAACGTTACAGATTATTTAAATATGATCCGCAGGCACATTTTTACGCACGGTTTCTTTTTTAGGTTGGTTACTGCAGTGTGAGATGCCAGAAGCTTCATTGGCAGTCTCACAAGAAGTTTTGTAAGCAGCTGGCCAAAGACTACGAAGAACAGCTTGCTGCACAGTTGGCAGAAGAAAAACTCGAGGACGGAATAAGCCTCAAAACTCAGCAAGAAAAGCCAAGCCTCATGAATGGTGAAAAGAAACCTTCGGCCAACCGGAAAAGCGACGAAGCTGTAAACAGCCATAAATTAAAAACTGAAAACGATCAAAACACAAACACTGGAACTAATGGCGACATAGAAGGCACAAATTTATCGGAGAGTTAACGCAGAAAAGGTTGATATTGACGGAACGTGGAGAAACTGCGATGATAGTTGGCTTAGACTTGTAACCGAAGAATGTTTTTTAACCCTTTTACTCCCAAGATCCAAGAAGTGATTCTCCCTTCTGAATGCCATACATTGCCTTGTAAATACGACAGGAGAACTTGGTTTTGTATTGTGCTCTAACTGACAAGCTCTTCTGTTCTCGTAACTTGTGAGCAGAATGTTGTACTGAAATCGTGTGAAGAGTACCTCTATCTGTTTGGAGGTTCAAAATAACTGCCCCAAAGTAACACCTAGCTGCGATGAAAAACGAAAGTAGAGGAAACGCTGAACACGAAAGG